TATTATAATGAATATACACTCCTTAACTAATTCATCTTTCTCTATTCAAAATAACCCTTATTGTTGTTGTTTTTTTGGTGTGTTTATCCTTTACGATTTTTCTTCTGTTCTCTGTTGCTATTACTATTATTAGTTATCGAGTTGTTCTTTGCCGTTTGCACGAACAAGAACGAAGAGAAACGATACTTATTTTGACTATCGCCAACCAATAGAAGAAAACCAGCTGATGTTCGATCAATAGCAATTGGTTGATTATTCTGTTTTTTTTTTTTTTTTCTTCAAGAGTGTAAGAATATATTGATGTATTATACGAAAAATTTTGATCAAAGCGAAAACAAACATTTAAATATTTGTTAGGATTGAAAATTTTTGTAAAGCAATCTCGATATTGACTGACTCCTAAGAGGCTTTGACGTGCAAAATAATAATATCATGACAAGTTTCTTTGGTTTTTCATATGACTAAGAACATGAGTTTAAAAAATCAAATATAAACTTCAATATGAGATATCGAGTAATTTTTATTTTTCTTACTGTCAATATACTTTTGACAATGACATGAAGTTTTTTCATAAAGAATTAATATTACTGATAGATGTATATTCAATTGAATTTATTTCTTTTTTATCGATTTCTATTACTCTTGGGAAATTTTTTTTTTTTTTAAAATAAGACATTTTTTTTTAAAATTCTTGCAAACTGTTTCGTTTTATCTCATTCAATTAGAACCCATTGAATCGGCTCCGAACCTGAAAATTTTTTCGACTTGATAAACTGTACATTCAACTATATTTAGATAATCTAATAGAATGATTTAAAATCAAATTTTCATGTTGATGTATGTGACAACGTCTTACGTAAATACTATAACACTACCAAAAAAAAAATCCTTGTCAATAATAGATAATTTTTAATTAATAGAAAACAAATATACATATATCGGTATAATTTAGCGAGCTTTAAACTCGAGATTATCTAATTTCGAGTAAACATACACTAGAGACATCTCGGGTAAGCTTTATCCGTAGGCCTGTAACATGACTGAGGAAAATTTTCTAACACTCTATCCTACGAAGTTTTTGTTTTATTCTTGCTAAATCTTAGACTGGTGTGAAAGACTTTAAAAGTAATACATAGAAAAATAATATCATGTTAGAAATGTACAAAGTAGAGTCTGTCGAATTGGTCTCGGATCTGTCGGGCTCTAGGCGTCTGACAAAATGTGTCGGATTTGCTAGGTACTGAATACAAAAAAACAATGGAGAAAAATATCTCGTATCTTCGAGGCGACTATCCAATTCCGATTAGAGAATTTCATTGAGATTATCAAAGTACAATCTGACGGGCACTAATACAAGGTAAGCTCTAATTTGTATCTAGTACCCTGACAGAGAAAAATTTTTTAATCCTTATACTACCCTACAGGATAGGGTAGGGTGAACTTGTACTTCTCTAACATAAGCATTATTAATGTTGTATAAGCAAAATATCGAAGTCAGCAGTGTGAGATCTTAAAATCTTTTGTCTTGTTTGAATAAACATTTTTATATTTTTATTAGAATTTTTTGGTCAGAATTAATTCATTAAATAAAATCGATTCGATACTTTTTTAAATATATTATTTTCAAATATTTGATATCAAATTAAGAATAAGGAAAAAAAGAAAAGAAAAAGTATACGAAAGAAAGTTTATTGTGTAACAGTAAGCTGGCAAATGTTGTTTTTGTTTTTCAAACTAATATCATTCATTTAAATCTAATTATTTTCATTAGATACATTGCCTATATTTATTCTTTTGTCATTATGATTCAAGACAAAGTTTCTTATGACAATTTATTAAAAAATTTTATTTTAAATATAATTTATAGATCGATTACTAAATAGAATAGAACATCTACACATTTTCTAAAATATTAATGAAATCTTCTGGTTTATTTCTATAGTATGTCGGACATTTACATATGATTTTATTTGTTTGTTTCTATATATAGATATATCAATCGTAAAAAATGTACTTTAAAACTAAATGTTTTATCAGTTGCTTTTTTTTTGAATATGTCACAATAGATAACTATGTAAAAAATTTCGGATATGTTTTATCTTTTTATATTAATTGAAAAAATCGTCAATTTTGTTTATCAATAAATTAATGAAAACAAAAAAGAAAAAATAAAACCTTGGATAATATAATATTGGAATAAAATTATGTATATTATCATTAATGTTTTTCTTTTACTTACTTTTATTTTTGTTATTGACAATATTAAGTTTTCTTTTTCTTTTTTCTTTTTTCAATTTATCAATTGATAAGCATCAGCAGTTTTTTTGTTGTTTGACAAATACACTGTGTTAATGTTGAATATGAGACTGCAAATGTAATCGTGTTCTCTATTGTTGTTACTGTGCAGTGAGCAAGAGAAAAGTACTGACTGCTGATTACGTTCTGTCGCAATGTTGAAAGCTTGTCTGTTTCTTTCAATGCCTTTATACTAACAGTACCCAGCAACAACAAGAACCCTTCGTCGTTTTTTTCTCTCTCTCTTTCATACCCCCGGGTTGTAGCTTTGGCCGTCGACGGATAGACAGAAAATATTTTTTGCTTCTATATGTAACTTGGTTGTTTTCGTCTTTCTCTCTCTTTTTTTTTTTCTTTGCTGTGTGCTTTTTTTCTCTCTTTCAGCATCAAAAAAAGAACCAGTTTGCCTTGACACAGCATCTGCCTGAAGAGAAAGATTCGTAATTTAATCATATTTGCCTTTTTTCTTCTCTTCGCTCTTCGTTCTGTTTTTTTGCTTTCTCTCATCATCAATTGTGTTATTACAGAAAAACATATGTTAAGAGATAGATCCTAGACTAAGAACATCTATGGACTTGACGTTGTCCTCTTCGAACGACAACACGTACATAAATAAACTATATATTTTTTTTTTGTTGTTTGCAAAATAACCTAAGAAGCTACATCAAACTAACTAATTGGTCTTCTTTGGCCTGCTGATTGAGTTCTTTTTTTTCTTTTGGATGACAATGACAAAAATAACAATGTATAGAAAAAAAAAATGAAACAATTTTCTCTCTTGCTTGCGCGTCGCTTTGACGACATTGACTCCGGCAAAACATATCTGCATGCTGCGGTAAATGATGGAGAAAAAAAAAACGAGGTACACAGCTGCGTGTAACATATGTTTTTTTTCTCTTCTTGTTCTCATTTTTTTTTTTTCGAATAAGCATTATTCTATCGACTATGTGTAGTTATTTGTTGAGCTTGTAATTATCGAAGAAAAAAAAAAAGTGATTATTAATAAAAGAAAATAAGTCATTTATTAATATGGAAAAAACCAATATGATGTTGATTTTATATCATATTGACCAAAATTATAAATGATAATATTTTTATTTAAACAATTGTACAAGATTGATTGAAGCATATGGAGAATATAATATCTATACATGAGTAATGATTAAATCGTTTCTTTTTTTTTTGTATTTCTCAATTCATAAAGAAAAGTCTTATTTGTCATAAGTCTTTCAAAAATAATTCTTAACGAAGTCAACTCTTAAGTATGATACTTTGTCTTTTTCCAAAACGTATGAACTATTTTAGTTCATTAAACATTAACTATCATAATAAATTCTTTATTAACATTATTAGTTTTACTATATACATTGAATTTTAGACATGATTATAATGTTATCTTAAAAAGAAAAGAATTTTGAAAAAATAAAATAAAAAAAATGATATTCAGTCAATTAATTTGATAATTTTGATTGAAATGCTGAAAGTATTTTGTTTTTCTTGCTCTGTGTGTACACCAGCTTAGGATAAAAATAATTTATTAAAATTAAAATAGTATTATGAAAGAGTGAAAAGGCTTTTAAATAGACAATAAACAAACTCATCATCTACTGTCGATGGCAAATTAAAAAGTTTTTTGCTATTTTTAGAATAGCTTTTACACAGAACAATAGCTGTGTCTAAATAGTAAGGCACGCTGAATTTCATTAAACAGTTTTGAATATTATCGTATACCAAGATAATGACATTCGATGATTATTCCATTGAAAAGAATTTCATATCAAAAAGTCTAGTATGGATCAAATAAGCAGATAGATAATGATGATGTGTTTTCATGATTGCACTTTTGGTTCAATAATCGATGAAAAAATTAGATAAACAAAAATTCATTGATGAAAATTTTCTATAGAATCAAAACACTCTAAATAATATTAATTTAAATTGAAAACATTAAATTTTTATCTTAATGATATTTTGTTGAATAAATTTATTATTTTCATGGCCGTTTTTCTAATTGACAATTTTATGAATGCATTATATGAATAAGAAGAGAAAAAAAAAAAAAGATTTTCTATCATAATCGAATAATCGATAACAAATTACTTGCTTGCTAAACATTCTGATCATGTGAAAAGAAAAACAAATTATTGTTTTTTTTTGGAGGAAAAAAAAAAATATATACATACAAGATAGCTTGCTATTAATAATAATTATTCTTTATGTACGTTATCTGATAAATACATGGTAGACAAGAGCGGCAACATATTTATCTTTTAGATATATAATACGATCGTAGAAAATTGAGATTTACTGTTTACAAAAATAAACTTCTATCATTATTTGATGAATAAAATTTATTTAGAATGCATTAAAAAAAAAAAAAAAGTTGCAATGTGTCATTTTACAACCACAAAAGATCAGAATAAATAAAAAAAAAATACAAGCGACTAGAGGTATAAAGGATTTTTTGAAATAAATCAATAAACAAAAAAATTCAAAATTATAAATCAAATCTAAACATGCGAAAATTCATTCGTGGGAAAAATATAGCATGGTATTTACGATAAGGGAATAAATTTGATCTAAATAGGCACCCATTCGAATAGTTCTATATCATTTTATTAAAATTATTATATAAAAAATTTAATTGTCTTTTTCATCATTATTTTCTATGAGATGAAGTGATGGTGCATTTGCTTCTGAATGCTTTATATATCCATCCTTTGTGGAGGAATTATAGGTGGTTGTGATTTTTTTGAATGTTTTATTTCTTCATTAATAACATTTGATGATTCGGTATTAATCGATGGAGATGGTCGTTGATAACGTGGTTCACTCTAAGCATACTCATAAAATAATAATTAATTTGTGGATAAAAATCTATAGGCAATTATAAGCTATGCACTATGTTTAAGCAAAAGCAAGAGGGCTAAAGCAACATAGGATAAGAAAACCAATCGGATTGGTTTTTTTATTTTTCACAACAAAAAACATATAAATACACGCAACACACACACACACACACATATACAAACAATGGAGAATAGCACGACTAGAAAAACAGACGCAAGAAAGAACAAACACAAAGAAATTATGATTGTGAATATATATATATATATGTATATATATATTAATATCATTCTCAAAGAGATAAAGAAGAAGAAGAAGAAGCGTGAGTTTATACAAAGTGCACATTAATTATTCGTCACATTCATAATAAAATACCTCATTATGATCACGTATTGGTTGTGAAGATTTATTTCCTTGAAAAAGATGTTTTTTTGGTTCAAAAGATTTTGCTTCAAGATAAGGATTTACTATATCACCTTTAATATCATTTCTTCCTAAAGCTAAAGCTGTTTGTTGTTGTTGTTCTTTGATTTCTTCATAAAAATTATCAATATCTGTATTTGTTGCATTCGAACGTGGTTCTATTTGATTAATTGGTTTAATAAGAGATTCACGATCAGATAGACCATCATTTATTTGATGTATTATTATTGATGATGTTGTTGATGATGCTGAATTTGGTCGATTATGTCCAGTAACTGTTAATGATGATGATGGAAGAATTATTGGTGATGATGATGTTAAATATGGTTGTTCAATTCGAAGATCTTTTCCATGATAACGATGATCAGGTGATATTGTTGGTGCATTAAGTCGTTGACGATGATCATCTTCACTTTTTAAATATCGACGAGCACGTGCACGACGACTTCTAAAATTAATTATTATAAATTTTCAATGATTAACATAGAATAAGATAATATTTACTTTGTGATTCGAGTTAAAGTTAATATAATAGCTATAAGAATAAGAATAAGAATAATAAAACCAATAATACATCCAAGAATAATTCCTACAAAGAAAATATAAAATGAATATTATGTTATTGACCTATATTATAATGTAACATTCTATAAATTTAGTCAAGATTATATAAAATTCACTATTTCTCATTAAAATAATTTAACAAAAATAACTTCTAAATAAACAAAAGATGACTACGATATTGCATCTACAGGGCAGGATATATGTAGGTTTAAAGAGAAAGACTTTCTCTATCTAATAGTATATACATTATTAAGTTCTACTGTTGACATGTCCATAGATGGAGCCACCTACTGATATGTCAACAGTACACGGCAGCCTGATAATGCATATATCATTAGATAGAGAAAGTCTTTCTGTTTAAGCCTACATATATCCTGCTCTGTAATCTACAGTGTGCTCGAAAAATTGATGTGAATAACCGTTAAGTATCTTGAGCAATTTATATTGTTTTCTTGTACAAGACAATAGTTTTTATGAATGACCAAATTTGAGTCATTTACACATCGGTCGCAAAATGCGGACCAGTTCCGACGGAAAATAGTAAAAACTTGGAAGAATAAACTCGATGATCGAATTCAGTGGCCGACTGTGTTCAGAACTGAAAAACTTTGGCCGCCGGATTTCTGCTTCCAAGCTCCTACCATTTTCCGGCGGAAAAAAACGGTTTCCTGTCGGAAACTCACGAATCCTGGATGTCGGTACCATTGACTTGAGTCGCTGTGGAGAAGAAAAAATGCAAGTCGAATTTAGCATATAAAATGTCAAACATAGATTGCAATAGACATGTTTTTGGAAAATAAATTAAAAGACGTTGATGAAATTTATAATGTTTATAAAAATGTGCTACTATCGAATGCTTGGATAATGAAAACAACTGCTTCATTGTCTTTGAAGAGAGCGATTGTTACTCAAAAACAAGTTGATTTTAATATACCACAGTAAATTATATCAGACTTTCTCTTATTGATTAAATCTTCTAACTATCCATGTCGCCCTACTTTCGTACTTATAAGAACTGACAGTATATCATAGTCCAATGAGATTGCATTTGTTTTTTTTTTCATATTCATTCTCATTTCATGGTGATGATATGTTCTATTGTTTTTCACATACTATAGATGAACACACATTGATCATATATCTACAATTCTAATCCTCTACTAGTCCTCAGTCTATAGTGTATATATTAGATTTCTATCTCGTTGTATAGTTCTAAATATAGTGATTCTCATTTATATTCTAAAACTTGTTTAACATATTTATTATATGACATGTACTCATGAGATAATGCACTAACATATTCCGGGATAGCTTATTTTGTTGTATTATGACACTAAGAGTTCATTTGGTGGTAATGGTCATAGAGAAAAACATATTGAAATATGACCAGATATTAGCTTGATGATATAATACATGAATTAATAGTTAAATCTTCTATTATAGTAATAGAGTTCTGATATTACCAATGATCCGATGAACGTAAATTATCATACAATCAGGTCTAATCTATTCTATAGACATAGAATTCACTTTTATGAATTAGTTTTATATAAATTATATCATCTGTTTTATGTAGCATGAACTTCATTTTGGCATTGCATATGCTATCTTTTCTTCTTCTTTTTTTCTACTTCGTTATTCAAATGCATTTGTTCTACGTTATATTGGCATATATTATTAGATACTCTAATTCATGTTGCATGTCCCTATGCAATACCACATTATAATTTTCTACTACCATATTACACAATAAAATATGATATGAGCGTATTCTCAACTCGAACTTTGATTTCATTGGATTATAGAAGTAGATTGCTGATCAGGGAATAACTACCGGTCGATATAGCACACACATCATATAGATAATGGATGTGTTTGTGGTACTCTATCTTTGATAAATAATTAAACTCGAAAATACTCGATATCATGATTGAGATCTAACATTTTTTCTATAAATATTCAACATACCCCAATCTCGTTTTAACAATGTTTTTCCACGTCGATCATCATCATTTGTATTTCTATCAGATTCAAGAACAAATGGTGCATATTCTGATAAACGTGAATCAACTAAAATAAATCAATTTTAATTATTATAAATAATTTAGTAAAAGAAAAACGAAAACATTCATTTCTAATTGAATTTACTTTGAAAATAAAGTAAAAATTTTCCATCACCAACATGATTTGTTTTTAATTCAAATTGAACTGATTCATTATTATTTTGACTAGTTATATTAATATCTAATAATTCATTACGAACTAATGTTCGTACATTATTTAATAACCGTATATTTAATTCATGAGAATATTCAATTGATTTTTCAAGCATAAATAAACGTAAACGTGCTTCACGTGGAATAACTAATTGTTTTTTACATGATAAATATTGACCTAATGATTGAGGATAATTAGGTGAATGTAATAAACCACGATCAATTGATATACGTTCGGATATTTCTATTGAACAAATATTAATTCGAGGAAGATCTTCAATTATACCATCACCTATCAAAACAAAACAAAATCAGCTGTTAGTACGATCCCTGTAGAGTTAAAATGAGAAACATAATGTAGCAGCTATTGTTGTTAATCACAGGAGATTGCTTTAATCTATCTATTTTGGAACACACATGTCTTCATTATCCTTTTGCTTAATCATCGAGAAATACAATAAGAAAGCATTAAATGTATTAGAACGAGACATTGTTTCTGGCTAGTCGCAAGCTGCTAATGCTTCCAGATTCGAGTACACAAAAAATGTCGACTCGTAACTCGCAACATTAATTGTGTAGAACATATTCTTGTTGAATCTCGTTTACATAAATACAACTAAAATTATTCCATACATCTGAAAAATTTGGTGTTATTATTATTATTGGTTTAATGAATTGTGTGTTATCAATTAACTGCTCAATTACCGTTTTTTTTTTCTTCTGTTAACATAATGCTCTCTTCAGCTACTCTCCTTCCGGTTTCAATGACTTTTTTGACTATGTTCTAATAAAAATTCGAAAAGAATTTAGGTTTAACTAAGCTGTCGAATGTTGATCTTAAACTTTATACATATAAAGAACTCAAGTAAACTTGTTTTCATTAAAAAAAATTCAGAAATTTTCAAAAACAATCTCTAATCAAAATTCGATAGCTTAGTGAAATTCAAACTCTTTTCGGGTTTTTATTACAACACTTTATAAATAAAAAAGATCAACCCGTAGCTTCTCATCGATTAGTTTAAAACAATCGTTTTCTTTTTTCATCGCTTCAAAAAAAAAAAAACTACGAGATTAACCTGGTATGCATAAATATTCGACCATGGAAAAATTTGATGCCATTCCATGTTGACAATCTTTTAATGTTGGTCGTTCATGATATTTTATTTTACATTGATCATCACTTCCATCTTTTAATTGACTATCACAAACATCATGATATGCATTTGGTATATTATAATTACAAATTGTTTGTGTATCTTTATTACATTTAAAAGAACTTTTATTTATTTCATCTTGTTGTTGTTTTATACTAATACCAATTAATGCATTTGTTATATATAAACGATAATTTCTTATACATGATAAATTAATTTCACCTGAACGTATACGTCGTTGTGATGATGATTCACATAAATAATCTTTTTGTTCTTGTATAATAGGTAAACAACGATATTTAATGTATAATCTTTTTGTTGTATGACATGTTGAATTAATATGAAAATGTAATGTATTTATATCAATATGACATGTTCGTTTACGATTACATGCAAATAAAACTGTATTTTTATTTTCTATTTGACATAATGTTAAACCAGTACATGAATTATCATTTGTTGATTCATATACAACATTTTCAATATCAATAATATAACCGGGTAAACATGATGGATATGGATTTGATATATCATTTGTTGAATCTGTACATAACCATGGAGTTGGACTTGTTTTATATGTATAAGATATTTGAAGAGTATAAAGAAAAAAACATATTTCAATCAACATTTCACGGTCTTGATAAAATAAACAAAAAATAAATAAATGAGTGTGAATTGAATAAATGAATGAATAAAGATAAGTCAATATTTTTATTGGAGAAATATTTTAACCAATAGAAATAATTTTCATTCGATTACCATAGTAAATAGAATGATAATGGTAGAATGGAAAAATATATTGAATAAATTTTCTCTTTTTGTTAAGAATCGATATGGAACGAAATATGAATGAATATAGTGAATTATTTTATCATTGTGTACAAGTATTAAATGAATATAATAATAATATATTGGAAGAAATATTTTTAGAAGAATATTTTCAATTAAATAAAGTAATTTTTTTTTAAATTTGAACGAAATAAAAAAAAAAAAAGAAAAATTTATTATCATAGGTTTCTAATCAATCATTTGTATCAACAGTATTAATGGATTGTACACGTCATTCAGAATTACTTAAAGCAATAGTGGAGATTTTTTATAAAACAGTTGGTATCAATATACGAAGATCTGAACAAAATATTTATAAAGGTTTATATTTTCTTTTGTTAAAATATTATCTTGAAAAAAAATTGTTTTTGCTTTTAGTTCTTACTTATATTATTTTTTTTCAACTTGATTCAGTTGATATGAAACTTTTACGAGGATTTATTAATTCAGTACAGTTACATCAAGTGCATCAGGTGAACAGATCAATTTAAGTTTGCATTTGATTAAATTACCAATACTTTCACTGTTCACAACCTTTTGCTTATTATTCACATCACCACTTCCATTAAAATTTTCATTTGTATGCATCTAAAATTCTACTTTATTTTCCTTAAGTTTTTACAATTTCTTATAAATGAAGATTTTATTTCAATTATCAAAACAGAATGTCTGAAATTGTACGATGAAGAATATATTAATGAAAAAATTCTTGGAATTTTTGAAAAGTATGTTTAAAAAAAAACGAATATTCACTATTTTATTTGAATGATCTTTGTTCTTCTTTTTTTTGTGCTGTTCAAATAGATATCATCCAACTTTACGTGGTATTTTACTTGATATTAATAATATAATGGAAGGACGTACAGCAACACGTCATTTACCAGAACCAACTAAAATCAAACCATTTAAACTTACTGCATTGAAAGAACGAATTGTTCCTATGCCAAAAATTGTTAGTAAATAAAATTAATTCGTCTTTGTTTTTTTTTTATTTTTCAAACGTCTTTTTGTATTTAGATACCAAAAATGGAAAAATGTCGACTACCACCAAAATCAACTTATGAACCATCAAAAGAACAAAATGAATTAGAAAAATTACGCGAAGATAATCATCAACAAGGTTTATATAAATTAAATCGAACACGATCATTATCCTATCATTTTATGCAAACAGAAAAATCAACTAAAACTCAAATTAAACAAACGAAAATTATTGAAGAAAATGAAAAAAATCTTCATTGTGAACAATTTCGAGCGAATCCATCACCTAAATCTCAGGTTTATTTTCTTATTTATTCGTTTGTCACTCTAGTGGAACTACCAATGAAAAAATTTTATATATTGAGTATTAGTCTATCTTGTAAACTAATAGTGTGTGATCAGATCGATCTGGCGTAGGAACAGATGGCAAAAGCATCTTATATCACATGATATTGAAGTAATAGAAAAAGAAAAGAGTGAATGATTGTATACCTTATCATCTAATTTCTCTCAATGATCTATACCAGTAATCTTTATTATAGCGACCATTCTTTTTATTCATCTTTTTTGAATATATGCCGTATCGAGAGAAACTGCAGGTATCATCTTAGAATATCACTAATAACTTCAGTCATCGATATGATAAATTCACATGATGACGTTTACATTACATATTTTGTAAGTCCGATATTTTCAAAAGATGAAGCGTTGCAACGAAATATTCGTTTTTTATCTATCGATAGCTCATGAAAATTCCTACAAAAAAAAAACATCTTTTTAAATATTTTTAAATTCTATGGATCACTTAGTTTTCGTAATCGATCTATAAGTGATTACTTCCGGGACTAAGAATTAAACTAAAATTTCAATAACAAGAAAAAAACAGAACTATTCTTAATTTTTTTCTTATAGACAAATAAAATTCCAGTTAAATTAAATGTCGCTGCAATACTTAAAGAAAATCAATTATTTAAAAAACAAGAAGATAATGTTCGTCAACGTTTACTTGATTTTGAAGCTGGTGGAAAAGATGCACATGAATTTTTTCAATGGCAAGAAACAATGCAAAAACAAGATTATGAACAAGAAATAATTGCTATTGAACGTAAAAGATTAGAAGGAAAAATAAGTTATGAAGAAGCTATACTTGCTAAACAACGTTTAACTGATGAAAATCGACGTATAGCTGATGAAATAAAACGTCAAACACGTGAAGCTATTGAAATTCATGTTAAAGAAAAACTTCAACAAGAACAAAGAATGAAGTATATAAATTGATTTTAAAAATTTAGTTCTATTCATATTTTATTTTAGACAACTAATCGAAGAAGTTGTTAATGGACGAGATAATGCTAAAGTTGCACAACAAAAACTTCAACAATATAAAACAGATTTTGTTAAACAATATAAAGAAGAAACAAAACAATTAATGAAACAAGCACTTGAAGAGGTTTGTAAAATAGTTTATTAGAATATCGAATGATACAAAGCAAGATTATACATTTTTATGCCTTACAAAATTTCAACTCTGGATTTTAGATCATTTCGAAAAGGATAACTTTACATTTGACTACGAAATATTCTTCATTGGTGGAATGTATTTGAATTCAAACCTTCAATATGATTCCGTATTTATAAAAACCCTAAAGACCTTAGTTTTTATTATTATTCACATGCCTTTGTATGTCAACGAGGAAATCGTTTCAATGATAATACATAGTGTTCTAATAAAACTCTAAAAGGATTTTCATTCCTATTGAAATTTAACCAAGCTATAGAATTTAATTTTCGGAAAATTCGTATTTTCGAATTTTGATCTGAAACTTTGTGCATATAGGGTATCTTTCAAAAGACAGACGTTCTGCGAAGTGTAGTAAGTAATACAAGGATATTTTGAAAAGTACATAGCTTAGAGATAGAAAATCTTGAAATTGTAAAACTCTGATATCGTTTCACAACAAAACACTGAAAAACATGATTTTCCCAAAAGCCTGAAGTCTTACAAGGGCTTCTGACAATCAGACAAGCTTCTACTAGAATACTATGTATTATCATTGGAATTAGACGGAGATATCTGGAGAGATTTCTTAGTAAGTGAATCTACCACGAAAAATTCCAATCAATCGAAAATCCTGTTCACTTGGGTTTTAGAGGTTGCACAATGATGAAGATGTTGTGTTACATGTTACCGAGCACACTCGATCAACACCCGCATTTATAAATCCTAACGTTAAGTGTTCTAAACCTATCGTGATAGCTTCACGTTGATCAATACTAATGCACTGATGATCATTGTTGATTCCTCATATGCTTATCGTCTTCACTGTTGTATTTCTAGTCATTACAATTACATGTTATATCTAATATTTTATAAAAAAAAACAAAGTTGTGTCTTTTTGATGTTAATTTTATAATTAAAATATGAACGCAAACAAAATCGGATGAATTCTTTTTTTAATTGAAAGATGTGTAAATCAAATCACATCAATGATTGTATATGATCATTAATCTTTATGTATGCATGTAATTCTTAGTGTCATAAATATTGAACTTAAAAAATCGATTAAGTTTCCACGTTCTTCTATAATATCTTAAGAAGCCACAAAGGCAAATTGCAAAGAANATAGGCGAAAATTCCAGTAAAATGGCTATAACTCTGAACGAAAGGTCTATGGGCCCTTATCTTTTTGGGGTTTTTCATATCTTACTGGGATCTACCTTATGCACAGAGTTCGAACTCAAAACCGATTAATCACTTCGGGTACCTCCCTCGTTAGTCGAACTATGCATTTTTTTTTATAACGGTGTGCTCCAGTTAGAGTTCGGTGGCTTAAAAAAAAAAAACCTGACATCGGAATCGATAAATCATGAGATAGATACAAAAATGGTTATATCTATACAGAGAAGTTTTCATTTTCTTATGATTGAGATTAAACATATATGTATAATATTGCTTTGTTTAAGTACTGAGATATGTGGGATTTTTTATCTAAAAAATTCAGTAGTGAAAATTTCTGAAAGTATATTGAAAGTTCTCGTATCTGCCTGATAATTTAATAATTTTGATTCCGATTCCGAGTAATTTTTGGAACTACTGAACTGTAGTTGCAATACTTCAGTATACACTTAATACTCTCACGAGTAGAGTTCATCGGGTATGGAACCAACTTGATGGGTTCTACTGATGAGAGAATTTCCTCAGATGTGTCACCTCTAATTCGATTTCAATTCTTTTTTTTCCTGCTTATACATACTACTTAGTTTTCTAATTAAAACTTTAAAAAAATTTATGTTCCTATTGTGACAACTTAATCAAATCTCAACCGACGTCTTTTTAGAGTTTATATTCAAAAACAAATCATTCAAATTCGAAGAGGAAATTTTCTCGTGTGTCTGTAGTCAATAAACTGAAATTGCGCATTCCCAGCTTCAAAATATTTTAATTAATTCTTGTTTTTTGTTTTTTCTAAATTAGTCATCCCGCCGGTTTATGTATCAGTTTTGGATCGAGCTGTATTCAATTCAACAAAAAGTGAATATCATCAAGAACAAATAGATTCAAATATTCCTATGGATTATCTATCATCATCTGATCAACAACATACAGCTGTAAATAGTCCAGCAAATTTACAAGATAATTCTGAAGCAATGACACCAACACCAACAACAATAAACAATATTCCAACAACAGCAATATCTTATGTTGAAACACCATTTTGGTGTTCAATACTTTATTATGAATTAAATCAACGTGTTGGTGAAACATTTCATGCATCACTTAATTCATTTGTTATTGATGGATATTGTGATCCAAATGCATCAGATAGATTTTGTCTTGGATCATTAACAAATGTTAATCGAACTTATGAAAGTGAAACATGTAGAAAAGTGATTGGTCACGGTGTACGACTTTATTATATTGGTGGTGAAGTTTTTGCTGAATGTCATTCAGATTCACCAATATTTGTTCAAAGTCCATGTTGTAATCAACGATTTCAATGGCATCCAGCAACAGTTTGTAAAATACCACCACGTAAGTTTTCCACACAAACAAAAGATATCAAATCGAATTTGCATGAAATTTTTCGGCGCAAATTGAAGCCGTAGCGAACCAAACTTTCTGGTCGATCTCAGAATGCTTTCATGAGATATGTACCAATCATAGCTAATTAGTCAATCCGAAATTCTCTATAGATTTACCTGTTTTGTTGAAAGCTAAGAATGAAAAGTTCAGTACCTCAAAAAAAAAAAAGCATGTCAAGAAATGGTTCGATCATAATGAATTGCACTAACGATGGAAAGTCTTCAATCGAACACAAACTATCGAAACTTTATTAAATTTTATTCCTGGCAAGGTACTTGTGAAAGTACATGAGGACGAATCCTTATAGGGTTTGATAAGTCTCGTTGGGACCTACGTATGAGTGAAACATCAGTTCCATTGACAAGTCAGGCTTAGGGATGTCTCGTCAGTAATCTAAATGCAATTTTTCTCCTATTTACTATTCCATAAAAAATTTCATTTCTATTCCAAAATATAGAGAATTTCGAGCTCTACAAAAGTTTAAAGTTAAATTAAAAAAAAAAGCTTTTTTTTACTTTACATAGATACTGACATACATTGTTTATTCCTATTGCGACAAATAAACAAAAATAGATCCTGTGAAAAAACTCTATCTTTTCGGCTATATCTCAATATAATATACATCAGTATGATTTTCTCTTTCAAAAAAAAGTATAAAATGAACAACTACAAAGAGTTTTCGGTTAGTAAATAAGCTATTTTTAACTCGTATTCGATCAAGATCTCATAGAAAAAAAAAGAATTATGTTATCCAACTGAAAATGTCATGCGATTTGAATACTCCTAATTTAATGTTCAACTTTCAAGGATTGGCTAAAAGTACTTTTATTTATAATGATGAATACTAAAGAAAATTTTTTGAAGGACATGTTATGAAAAATGTCAAGATGACGGTTAATTATTCTTTGTGTGTGTGTGTAAAACTTATTAACACCATGATAGATAAAAATGTCTCTGACAGTATTAGTTAACATAACTGTCATTTACTTCTATGTCAAACATTCGGTTTTTTTTTTAACCAAGGTCACAACTCGCTCTACATCCTCATTAAAATCGATTTCAGATCAGGAATATTTAAATCATATGAAATTTTTAGGATATGATAGAACTCTCGTGACAAGGCGGCTATGATAAAATTTTCAACTCTGTACGATAATATTTTAAAAGAAATATTTATGAAATAAGGATCAAAGTTAAGTCATTCAGTAACTTAAAATTCTTTATCGACACTTCATTCTATATATATATTTAATTTTCTTTTATTTGAAAGTGCATGGCGTCGCAAAACCCTTTTTTGTTTTGATATAGAAAAGAAAAATATTAACCAATAGAAGGTCTAATAAACTTTTCTAAAAATAGACACCTGCTTGCTATATAACTAGAGCAAATTGTAATTAAATAGAAGGGCTTAATCATGCCCTGCATCTTGACATGACCTTTCAAGCAAGAAAAACAAAAAGAATTAAATATTCGTAAAGAATGCTTATAAAGAATTCTCATTTGCACTATCAAAAAAAACAAAATTTTTTTCAATAGAAATTTTAAGCACACTTTGAATAGATTTGAAGAGAACAATCATTATCATATATACATATGTTGGTCATTGTTTTTCTCATCCTTGATATTTATTTGCAAGTGCAAACATATTTTCTTTTTTAAAATCGGGAATTATAATAAAAAAAAAAAATTTTCATTAATTTATGGAAGTGAAAATCTTAAGATCGAATGTATATTCAAAAACAAAAGATCTTTTCTTTTTGATTTAGGTTGTAATTTAAAGATCTTTAGTAATACGGAATTCGCTCAGATATTGTCTAATACAGTACAATATGGTTATGAAGCTGTTTATAATCTCACACGAATATGTGCTATTCGTATGAGTTTTGTTAAAGGTTGGGGTGAAGAATATCGGTAAATTAAATTTCATTGATTTCCTTTTTCTTTTTTTTTTTTTTTTCAAAATAATTTTCATATTAAATTATTTTTAGTCGACGTACTATAATGAGTACACCATGTTGGGTAGAAATTCATCTCAATGGTCCAATGCAATGGTTAGATAATGTTCTTCAACAATTACCAGCACTTGGTAGTATGTCTAGTTAATAATAAAACAAAAAATAATAATAATAATAATCTTCTATTAAAATAGAAAACATTTATTTTATTTGTTCGCTTTTAGTATTGTATATTTGTTAATCTCATTGATTTTATTTATCACAAATTTTGTATATATATATACATATATATGAACAATTATTCTATTAAATTAATATTTCTAGATAAAAATTAATAATGGTTAACGTACCAAAAACACGTCGTACATTTTGCAAGGGTAAAAATTGCAAAAAACATACACTACATAAAGTATCACAATACAAAAAAGGCAAAGATAGTGTTCATGTTCAAGGTAAACGACGTTATGATATGAAACAAAAAGGTTTTGGTGGACAAAAAAAGCCTGTCTTTCATAAAAAAGCTAAAACAACAAAAAAAATTGTTTTACGTATGGAATGTACGGAATGTAAATTTAAAAAACAATTAGCAATTAAACGAACGAAACATTTCGAATTAGGTGCAGAAAAAAAGAAGAAAAATCAAGTTATCACTTATTAAACAAATTTTACAACAAACAAACAATTATTTTACCATCAATTATCATTTTTCTTTTGTTTGTTGTTAAACTAAAAAACAAAAAAAAACAAAATTTGTTTATTTTTATTTATATAATGACGAATTTTTTAACATCAAAATTCGTTTAGTAAAAAAAAAAAAAACAACAATAAAATACAAATCCGATATTTGTTTTTTTTTTTTTTTTTTAGATATTTTTTATTTATTAATCATTTTGATTTATATGATAAGATCAAGAAAAGAAAAACTACAAGTAACTATTTCTTTTTCCTTGTTCAATAAAATAATACTCAATAAATTTTTGTTGAATAGTCAAACAATTGATATAATAGAAAAATAATTGTAGTTTTTTTTTAAAGTTTTATGCAACAGAATAAGTTCGATGCTACATTTCTTCAATAACAAATATTTTATTTTCGAATATTCTAGATTCAGTACTATTTTGTAATATTCATAGAAAATAGATCTATGATGAAATTCTCATCAAAACAAATGACTATAGAATAAAGTAAACTAGAAAAATATTTGTTGATTTAATCCAAAAATTTCTACTAGTAACACGTTGGGTTTGAAAATAATACTAGGTTAATCTTTGCTTTAAGACATTGCCTCATTAGTATTGATTTTAGGCTAGAAACATTAAAATTATATGAATTTTCAGGATAAGGTCGACCTATATAGCTGACAGGATATGATGAAATTTTTCGCTTCATAGCAATATGTTTTCAGCGGATATATATATATATATTAAAGGAGGCTGAAAAGTAACTAATTTGATAGTCTAAAATTTTCTGTAGGCTGTAAGTCTATAGGTTTTATATTTTATTAGAAAGATTATATCAGATTATGGAGCCATTTTTTTTTTGTTGAAAGCTAAGAATCTTAAATTCAGTAGCGCCAAAAAATGCCAATAATTGGGAATTTTTTTTTGTCGCTGCTGAACTTATTAGTCTTAACTTTAAAGAAAAGAAAAGCATTAAGAATTTGACTTGCTTCTTCAAACAAATAATAAAAATCTATAGAATGAAGGCCCATAGGTAAATCTTGTTTTATTAAAGATTTTATAAGTAAGATTATGGTCTTTTTTAGAAATGATGTACAACATCTTTTTTTTTCTGTAGCTATTACTTTATATTTCGGAGATCTAAACTTAAAACTGACGAAAGACGATATTTTTTAATTTCACCTTACGAAGGAAAGTTTCCGCATTATTTCTGATATTTTGCGTACAAATGAGGAGTTCTTCTTTCGATAGATATAAATATTTTTATTTTCGTATTAAAAGTGAAGTAATCTCAACATAACTTGAAAGCAAACTGTCCTAGCATGACAAAAAAAAAAACACCATGTATTTTGATTACAACACTCACAGTATTCTAACAACTAAACCCTTCATTGCTAAATTAACAAATTTCAAATATAGGCTATATTGACCGAGAGATATTCGAGTTTCAAAGAAATTTCTTATTGATTTAGAATTTTAAATTGCAAGCACTTTACATATACCGTAAATATGTTAAAATTCGAGTATTTCGGTCGGTACATCCCCTAATAACAATCTTTATTTTGAATTTATTAATTTAGACGGTGAAAGATTTCATTTTATCTGAATAAACTTTTGTCTTCAATATTTTTTAAGATTTTTCTTAGTCTCATTTATATCTACTTCTGTTTATTATATATGGAGTTTGTAATTAGAAAGAAATTAGAATGATTTTTCATATGAGTTTTAATCATACGCAAAATATAAGCGAATCAATTGATTACTTTCTCTTGTTAACTTTATAGAATAATCCAAAAAAGTCTTACAGTAAAAATTCATTTTATATCATTTTCAAAAATCTTATCTTTACATTGTTTTTTTTTTACTTTTTAATAATCAATAATGAAACTTCCATAAATATTCTATTTTCAATATTTTTTTTAAAAAATTCTTTTCAGTAAACATAATAATAATAATATAAAAAAAACTCTTCTCATAGTGTTGAACTTAAAAATACTTATACGATTATAATATTACCTGGAAATGACCGGAGAACATGTAGACAGATGACAAATAAAAAACAATACAACACTAGTAACTATTTTCTTTTTGTAGACACTAATTATTCTTCTATTTTAATAAAGCATAATTTTTTTTTCTCGAATAGACAAATTTGTTTCATTATACTATTTTATAAGTACTTGACGTACTTATTTTTTTACTAGTAAGATGAGTATCACGTTATTTAATTACTAAAGTATCTTTTGCTTTTTTTTTTTTTTTCTTCGAAAGTTCTTTTTATTTTTAATGACGTTTAGAAACTTCTGTTATATGATCATTGAACAGAAGCTTTTTTTTTGTTGTCATTTCATTGAAGATATTATTTTCTCTTTTTTTTTTTTGTATCAATGTCAAAGATCAAATTAAAGTCTGAGCAAACGTATGTCGACGTCCTTATTGACACAAATATCAGGAAAAAAGCATAGTTAGACATGACAAGCATTTCAAGGATTTTTTTTTTTTGCTTTTACATTAAACAAGATGAATAAATCAAAAACGCATAGAATTACAAAATATAAATCATGTAAGTTTTAAGTGTAAATTAAAGTTAATTGACATTGATTTATTCATAAGAATATCTCATTAATTTACAAAAGATAAGAAAATTATTAATTGTATTCTTTTTTTTTTGCTTTCTAGATAAAAATCTTATCTTGTAGAATTAAGCTTATTTAAATTTTTTATTCTTGTCATATAATAAAATCAAAACTTTCTAAGTAATACTAATTCCACTAAAGATTTTCAGTATGTTATTGTTAATTATTAGATCGTGATGAGTTTGATTTTTTTTCTTTGTAGATAACAAATAATAATAAATAATGTCAAATACATCATCAACAACACCATCAACATCAAATCGAATGGTGTCATTTATTAATTCAGTACGAAGTAAACGTTCAGTTTCACCTATAGCTCAACGTTTACTTGAATTATGTGTTCATTATCAACAACAAGAACAAAATAATCAAAATAATGTATTATTACCATCATCATCAAATGTCAATCCAATTGATTTAAATAAACAATCGACAAAAAAAATTAAAACATTATTAAAACAAGTAAATAAATCCAAACGAAATGGTTCTGTTGAAGAACTTGAACGAGCCATTTTACATAAAGATTCAAAAACAAGATGTGTAACTATACCAAGGTAAATTTATTAAACATAAATAGAAAATATTTTCATTTATCATCATGTATTAAATCGGAATCTGAAACAAAATTAAATCTTAACATAATCAAGTTCAGTACTATTAGTATAGAATTGTCTGTTCAGCATTTTATGTATATCTCAGTTACATTAAGATGTAAAGGAATGAATTCGTTTTTGCTCTAGAAATGCTTCGTTTACAAGACAATAACTTTCAATTGATAATGTACAAAGTTCCTCTTATTCATTAATGATAATAATCATTAACATACAACTAATTTAATATTAGAAATCTCGCTGACTAGTTCATCAAATATTAATTTATTTTTTTGTTCGTTGATCGATTGAAAGAATGATTTATCAAAATAAATGAAACCTCTATCACCAAAATATTTGCATTCTAATTTCAGATTCAATTCAATAGTAAACAGTCATACACCTAGACTATCATTTCGAGTTAAAATCCTCGATTTTTATTTAACTTTTAATAAAATAACATCAATATTTTCTGATGATTTATGTACTATTAGAAATTATAATTCATAAATTTCCTACCGAAGAATGTAAACCTTCATATATATATATATAAAGCATTGTTTATTTATATGAAAAAATATTTTTATATAGATCATCTGATGCTACACATGAACAATCATCACGGTCAAATCCAGTTGTTGAATATTGTCGTCTTTGGCGTTGGCCTGACTTATTCAATCAAAATGAACTTAAACCTGTTGATTATTGTCCAAATGCATTTCATTATGCACTTGATAATATTTGTATTAATCCGTACCATTATGAACGTGTACCAAGTATGTCAATGATTATTTTTTTTTAAAAAAAAACACGAAGAAAACTCTTGATATATTTTTTTTTTGTCAAGGTATCTATTCTGTTTACGTTCCACTTTTACCACCTGAAGCAATGCAAAATATTCCTGATTTACGTTCATCGTCAATAAAAGAAACGATAATTAATCAAATTCCAGAAAATAAAACTTATGAAACACCATTTCAACAACAACAGCAACCATCACCAGCAACATTATCACCAGAAAGTGTTAATTCACCAGGTAAAAAAAACCGACAAATTCTAGTTCACATGATAAAATCAACTAGAAATAAAAGAACATATGTTCGAATCTATAGTATAGCGATTTTTATTTAAGCTGATAATCCTTTTCATTATGGATTTGTTGATTAAGACCATATACAGATCATTTGACGTTTTGTTGAATGATTTCTTTTCTGTATATGTTCAGCTAAAAATACAAAAGAA